CACTCTTTTGTTCATTTTACCAGGTTCTCCGTCCCGTGAATAGCATCCTCATCATCGTATGGCCGAATACACCTTAGTCCTCTGAGTCCCCTTCTCCTTCCTCGCCGTCATAGTGTTGCTCGGACAGGTGCTCGGACAGGGCTTGATATAGGTCCACGTCTTCAATCGGCCGATCCGATAGTAACTTTTTCGTAAGGTCGAGAAGGAATTGCTCGGGCAAGCCCAAAGTCAGCTTCACCAGGCTTGGTCTGGCGGCGCATAGATCAACAGTGAACTTGCGTAGCTCCAAAATTTGCGGGCAATCGTGACGATACATACTACGAAGTTGGAAGGGAGGTAGTGTCGCTTCAGCAATTAGCGAGAATTTGATGATACCCTGACGGCTGGCTATGGAGTAGTCAGAATCTTTGAAGTAGCTGGCAGGGACATGGGCTTTGAACAAATCAGTCAGCCGATCTCCATTGTCTGGGATAGTACCAGTATATAGCCACTGCATGTATTGATCGAAGCATGCACCGTCCAAGTTAGGCAATATGGTGTCTGTCAATGCCTCGTCGCTCTGTTGTAATGGTAGTGGCCACTCCAGGCGGCATAGTGGACACGTTCTGTCCCGGCTCAACCAGTTGTCGATACATTTACTGTGGAAGTTTTGGCCACACGTCTTGCAGTACGAGACTGTGGCAAACCCAGCGATGTCTTCTGTACAGACCGAACAGTCGCCTTCCACGGGTTTGCGAGACTTTTGCAACTTTTTCTTGAAGTATTTTGAACTCGAACAGAGCAGGTCCTCGTGAACTGCGAAAATGTTCTTCTCCATGCCGAGTTGAACATTCACGAGTTTGTGGCCAAAACTAGAGCATGGGTCAGTACAAAGTCCAATACTAAGAGCAGCATCGATCCTACCGTTTAGCTTTCCGCGCGCCTTTTCTTGCCGCGCTCTGAGTCCGCGATACCGTCATCTTGATGTCCCGCTCGCCGATTTCGCTGAACTGTTAGTTGATATTCTTGAATTCTTGAGGGTCATGTAGGTGTCAAGGTCCTTGATCAGTTGCTATACATCATATATACTAGCACACGCTTTTAGTGTCACTTTACTTAGGGTGAGGCTATTGCAGAAAGTAATGACACGGGAGTAGGTAAAGGTGACTTAGGTGAGAGATCTATTCTAGTAAGATTGTCGTCGCTGTGGTTTTGGCCAGCATTCAGTATTCCGTGGTGACAGATTCATCGTCTTTGGATCCGCCTGAGATGCGACGACATTGGAGAATATACTACGGTGGTCACGTCTTAAACACCGCGACTTCCCATTTCGAGAGTGGAAAGAGCCAATCTCGCCTTGCACTTGCAGGGTAAGAGCGACAGCGCAACGACGCTCTCCAGACAGTAGTCACAATTGCCTGTCTGCTACGACACACGTCGACCTCCTCTTCACTGCGAACGAGTTCCTTTCCTTAGAGGGGCTCACGGAAATCGCGAGAGCCATCTATAGGCGACTTACCAGTGACGTTAAGCACTGAAAATTCGTCACTCTTACTCGATATAAACAAGTCAACATTGCCCACGTCTGATAGGAAGCTCTTAGCATCTCCGCCAAGCGCGCTACTTACGACCCTACACCACAGGCCATCATGCCTGGCCTACTTGTTCAAGATGCACATGCATGACAGCTCATCGCTTTGATGCATGGTCGCCGAACGGTGTATGGCATAGCAGGGGACGCCGTTGGATGATGCTAGGCAGAATGCTTTCCAAGCCCGCAACGACTGCCACATACTACGCATCCCCACAACGTGCGCATTACGGTTTGAGTGGTCGTACGAAAGCGGTCGTCTCCTTACTGATTCTTGTATCCACCACCACGCCTATCTGCGACTCCAACAGACTTGGTGATTGCATTGCATGCTGACCAGGCCTCTCTTGTGAAGGTGGCAGAATTCCAATACCTCGGCGATTTCTCCTTGCAGCAAGTGTCCCGACATGATGCACTTCTCAACAGCCAGACCTTGCATATACATCGCTGGGATACTAGTGAGGGTCGGCACGGATTCTGTCAGCTTTGCGAACGTTTCTCCCCAACGGTCCAACGGTCCAGGCCGCGGTGGCAGGTAAACCGCCAGTTTGGTCAGAATGGCATGATTTGACACGGCCTTCCCCGGATCCGATACATTGGTTGATGCGCCCGACGCATTCCTTCCAATGCAGCTCACGCGGCCAAGGCGCCGGAAACGCCGAACTACGAGTGGCTGAACCAGACGAAGACGAAAACCATGACAGAAACAATGGCAGGGAATCATTTGGAATTCCGATAGCCGCAGGTTGGAAGCCGTTTGGGAAAGTCCTTTGTGTACGCTAGAGAACTGTGCCTCGAACTCGCATCAGAGCAAAGCAGATCAGGTCTCAGTCCCAGAACTGGGTCAGGAGCCGGGGCTTAGGTCGTGCTAGCGCCCGAGAAGCAAAGGAAGAAGACAACAATGGTGGCATTGAGACATTGACGGGCGTGTTGATGGTGTGCACCCGGGGGATGGTCGGTGAGCTGGTTGCCCAATCTCTCGGAAGGAGTGACGCATGTCCAAAGCCACGCACTCGGTACTGGCAGGATGAGGCGTAAAGCTGTCGGTGTCATTCGACACGTTGGGCGTGGCTGTGGGTCTTTGCAACAGCTGGCAGCAGACAGGGCGGTCGAGGTTGCGAGGACTGCGGGGTTGACTGGCCCCCTAGCGCTCCCGTCGGCGCTTTCGCTGTCGGCGCGCCCTCCAAGGCCAGGGCCTTGGGAACGACATTATCCATTCCGCTGGGTTTCGCCTCTTCCTCGACACGACTCGGGGCGAGTCCTGTAGCGCACCGTAGCGCATCCCCAAGACATCATGGCCACCTCTGCGACTGACCGTGTGCGCAAGACCAAGCTGCGCCCGCTGTCCAGTGCCACCAATCTCACCGACTTCACACACTCGACCGCCGACCCAGCTGATGTATGCCGCCTGCTCTCCCCACCACATACGTACCATGGACTCCAAACTAATCGCGATATGTAGTCGGATGCACCGTCAGATGGAGAACTCAACGACTTGTACCTCTCCTGCTCTCCCCTCATATACTCCATGCGCTTACACATTGCAGCGAGGTGCAAAGCCTCACGCCAAGCATGTATGGCGTCGAGAAGAAGTACGGCCGAACTTACCATGGCTTCCATGCTGGAGGTACGCATATCCACCGAACGGCTTTTCGCCTGACTTTAGCTAATTAACTCCAGCCTACCCATTTCCCAACGACGAGGTACGCGCTGCTATAACCCATATTCGCCCATCGCCCTTTCGCTGACCCGCATACCCACAGCTCGAGATATACCGCCTGGAATGGGAACATCACATCATAACAGGACTTCTACAAGGAAAACACTACTTCGCGCCGCTGAACACAAAGAGATCGTCGAGGATGCTGGACATTGGCTGTGGCACCGGACAATGGTGCATCGCAATGGGTATGTGCTGTGTCTATAGCTTCTTATAGAAACATGACTGACAAGCACTAGCAAAGAAGGCTCCAAAACACTGGCGGGTACGCGATGCAATGTTCTGTCCAAGACCACGCTAACCAGACATCAGGTTGAAGGCATCGACTTATCCGCGATCCAACCCAAGAAAGACAGACTGCCCAACAACGTCGACTTCTGGCTGGACAACATCCTCAAGACATCTTGGTGGTTCCCCGAGAAGCAACCCTATACCTACGACTACGTCCACACACGCTTCATGCACGGCATCTTCACCGACTTCCGAGAAATCATACAAAAGGGCTTCAACAACCTGAAACCTGGTGGATGGATGGAGTCGCAGGAGATATTTTCCAAACTCCAGTGTGCCGAAGGCATGCCGGAAAGTTACCCGCTGCTTGAATGGTCCAATCTGCAGGACGAGGCCGCGCACATCCTGGGCCGGCCGTTACGCATCGCGGACAAACTAAAGAGGTGGTACCGAGAGGCTGGATTTGTGGATGTGCACGAGGAAGTCTTCGCTTTGCCCGTGAACCCATGGCCAAAAGAAAACAAGTCGAACATGTACGGCAAGTTCTGCATGTGGAACATGCTCGTTGGTTTGCACGGATGGACGATTGAATACTTTGTCACCGGCCTGGGCTGGACACCAGCCGAGGTCGAAGTCTACCTCGCGCATGTGAGGAACTCGCTCGCAGACGAGAGCGTGCACGCCTACTACAACTTGTAAGTCGCTTGTTGAACATGTGACGAGATTGAGAGACGCATACTAACATCTACCAGCTACGTAGTATGGGGTCGCAAACCTAACGACGGCGAAGCCGGCAGCACAATACCCAAACCCGACCACTGGCCGCAGCCTCCCTCTGACGACGACGAATCCACCTTTTCATCGGGAATATTATAATACACGTTTGGAACAGCCAGTATTAGCTGGCACATATGCATATGATTTAGCTCTTGGCGTTATTCATCCATCGGGGTTCTGCGGATTGTGCCTTCTTTCCTTTTACATGGATTGCAAGGAGGTAATTTGTTGTTGTTGTTGTTGTTGTTGTTCTTTGCATATGTTCTCGGCGGCTTGTGTCGATTGAAAAAGCCTTGAGCGGTGGCTGGGATCCTGTTGCTTGAGGGTCTGCGATTTACGATGTATGAGACTTGGACTTGCTATGGTGTTTGGATGAGGGGGTTAGTCGTTAATGTCATTCGGTCTGTTGCTATCTCGGGTCTGTGAATACAAGGATGAGTCACTATGATGCACGTGGCGAGGTTGTTCTCATGGCTGTACATGAGGCAACATGTCGATACATGGGCAGTTTCGTGATGTGAGTTATCTCGTCATGGTCCTGGAGCTGGATTTCATTCGGAATTCTTCGCTTCAACCAGATCGACTCCATCAAGTCCTGCTACATCGTTGGGCTGTAGGCCACCCGAGAGTTTCCATTGTTCTTTGAAACAATGATGTCATCGACTGAAGGTGGCTGTAAGTGTTTATTGCCCTCGTAGAGAATCAATCCATCTCCTCCATGTAGTCGCTAATGTTTGCCATCGTAGCCTGCTTCGGCATGTTGTCTGGACGGTAGCGCAGAAGTGCGATGGCGAGGTCAGCGAGAAACTCATTGGGTAAAAGACGCGTGTCCTGGGTTAAAAATTCCGCCGATATCCTAAGCCACATATCTACTATAAGGCGACGGCCAAGACTGCCCGCACATGTGCCCTCGTATATGATGATGATGGTTCCGACCGTTGGTTGGAACTGGAACCCGTCCGCATCTTTTTCTTCAGCGACCTCTAGCAGACCTTGGATGGCTGAGTTCTTTGCAGTCTTGTCCTGGAGCTTCTCACCGAGCACGTAAAGCCGGCCGAGCACACGCATCTCCTTTCCGATATCCTGACGATCTATCGGCTCCTCGAGAGTGTTGGTGACAATGCGACCTGTGTAGAGGAAGTTGATATAGATATTGAAGATCTTTGGGTCATCCTCCGGCAACTCAATGATGCGTTTTTCGCTCTCTACCCAGTTGCCGTTCATAGCACGTTTGAAGAACTCGGAGCGTGCGCAGATGATTCCCTCATGGACCGAGAAGCGCTGTTGTTTTGGACCTTTGCCCACAATGATTGTGACGAGCTTCGACGGATCGAAGCTGCCATGGTCAGCTACGGGCCCTGGAGATCAATCGCAGATACTCACCTCATTGCTGTTTTCACACCTGCTCGAAGAGTGGTCATGGCTGTTACGATGATATCAGAGTTGGTTGATCGGTGTTGGTGGAATCAAGGGGTGCGCTTGTCTGAGGAGAAACTTTCCAATCAGGTGCAGCCGAAAGAAGGAGCTCGGACTATTGTCTACACCCGGCGTGGTGAATGGTGAACCGGATTGTCATCGTCTGATCTCACATACCTAGGGAAGCGACCGCCTATAGCTAGCCATTCGTAAGCGTGGTGTCAGTGAAAAGCTCAAGATGCGGACTAGCAAAACTTGAGTTGACAACACCAAAAGTGATGCTAGACGTATACGTTAGATAGAAATATAATAGCGGATGAGCAATGAGATTGATGTGGACACCATGGTACACTGCCCGAAAAGAGGCGCAGAATCGAAGTCTTTGATCTGCCTTTGGACAAGAAGAATAAACAGACGAAGTTGAAAGACGAACACATGACAATGCGACTGAGTTTTCGTAGAGTTTTCGTAGAGTTTTCAGGATTGGGACGTATTGGATCAATGAAAAGCGAACGTCTTGTCTTGCAAGCTTTGTATGTCTGCCATACTTTTTGACTAGATGCATATGCACCGTATCTGGTTGCTCTCACCTCACTGTCTCAAAGCTCTCATCGAAGGTTTACCGACCATGCCTTTCCTTCTGCAGACCACAAAATCCACGGCCGTACTGTGCAAGCCAGTGCGTAGCTTCTCAGAGCTTCTCTTGATATGCAGTATATCCTTTTCTACATGCTAAATTTCCATTGCGCACTGGACGCTCACCATGAAGTGAGTAGGCGAGATCGACGAGAAAGTCCCTGCGAAGGCCTTCACTCTTCTCGAGAATACTCTTCGTGCTGATGCAGGTCCAGATGTCGACCATGAGGCGCCGTCCAAGACTAACTTCCGATGTGTTCTTGTACATCAACTCGACGATCTCGGCGTTGGGTAGTCTGTCGTCGGACGAATCTGTTGTAACTTCTATGTGGAGAGTCTCCAGAGCGGCATTCTTAGCTTGCTTGTCTTGCAGCTTCTCGGCGAGGATGTAGAACTTGACGGTCGATAGGGTATGTGCTTGGAACTCGACAGGCGTCATCTTGGAAGCGTCTGGTTCATTGTACAACACGCCCATATAGATGAGATTGACGTAGAGGGCGAAGATCTTGGGGTCGTCCTTAGGTAGTTTGACAATTCGATCCTTCTTCTTAGGCCAGTTGCCATTTATCGCGCGGCGGAATAACTCGGACCGTTTGCATATAATGCCTTCGTGGAGCAAGAAATCTTGTTGGGAGCCTTCGGGACCGACGCGCACAGTCAAGAAGGCAGACGGGTCGAAACTAGATTGTACAAGTAAGATCCCGCGGGCGGCGGTCGCGAAGGGTGACTTACCTCATGGTGCTGACTTTCGCAGCTTGTGCAGCGGTTTGTGACTCCATCGTGAGCACAATAGCCCCGGCGGCCTTGAAATTGCGGAGGGTGGTATGAGGAGGGGTTAGGAAGGGACTGTCGAAAAATTGCAGCTATACGAGATTTTAGTCTGCAACTTGGCTGTAGGCAGACACGCGTCTATGGCAAGTCGCAATCAAGGTGAAGGCCGAATTGTAGGACTAGTGCTGTGATCGGTGTAGCGGCTTATGAGGATAAAGTGAGAGGACCCGCAATGATGGCAACGGAAGCGGTCGAGAAAATATTTGCTTCTGATGCCGCTAGATCGTAAGGTAAGGCGAAAGCAAAGGACGTTAGCATGGTGTAGTATTAGGATTCTGGGCAAAGGACAAGCACGTGCCATGAGTCTAGTCGCGACTTCCTGAACATGTAGCCACATACCTAGGTATCTTGTCATCATGGTACCTGCCTCTGACGGAAAGACCATTCACCTGGGTGCACCTTGGCAAATGGAAACTTTACCTTACCAACCTCACCATGTTGGACCTGTTCCTGACCGCTCATGTTCGCTTGCGTGTACTTTTGCCATGTTGTCATCACCACTTGAGACCCGACTACACTCCTCAACCGACATCTTGATGTTAGTAGAATCCCAAACAGTTGAGATGCGCGCGCACCCTCTTCGCCCACGTCATACTGGCTCTGGGACTCACCTTCACCTCGCCCTCTACCCAGCCCGCCGTCTGCCTAGCCCCGCCACCCTGCATGCAAGCCCTCCCACCTGAGCCCACCCATTATCAGCACCTACAGGACCCACCTTTACCTGAAGATATAAACCCCAACATTACCCTATCTACCATCAACTCTCCTCCACTTGGCGGACTCGGGTGGGCTCCTGACGGTTACATAGAGTGCATTGCACGGATTAGAAAAACCTAGAGAAAAAACAGACAACATGTCCATCAAAACCAAAAGTGACTCTGGTAATGGGAAAAAACACATAAGAGATGGATTTGTCACACAAAGGGCTGAACTCAGGAGGGCGCGCCGTTCGATTCGGAGTGGGCGTCGGTCAGCAGATGCTGGGTGGGGGTTGAGTTGATTCTTTTTTGCCCTCTTTTTTTCGATTTGGGTTTGGAGGTGAAGGTGAAAATAGCATGTGAGAGCGGGTGACATATGTCTCTCGTAGAGCAACAACACGGGGCCGCAGCTAAGACATAACAGAGGAATGCAGAAGACACGCAGAGGCATGAGGAAATAGAGACATAAGACAGATACAGATGACTTAAAGTTTCATGTGACTTTTCTACTTTTACCGTTAAGTATGTCCTTCCTGAATGGCATTGCAGCGTACCCGTTAGGCCCGTGCGATGGCGCGGCACTCCTTTCTGTCAGCTTCCTCCACAGCTCGCCTATACTTGCTCTTTCGGCGGGGAGCATGCTATATTGCAAGCTGTATAAGTTGCGGCGGTGGATGGGTGGGACAAACTGCCCCGACACGAGATACAACAAGACGCTAGGCGAGAAGTAGTGCTTGCGTATGCGATCGCCGAGGTCGAAATAGGGTTGAAACATCGCGCGTAGTGACAGCGGGATCGACTGCATAGTGTGAGTTCACATACGTTATAGATTGAGCAACTTGACTTACCTTCAGCAACACATAGGCGGTCGGCGGTGAGTCTGTCTCACTTGCCGTACTAGAGCTAACATTGGTCGTGTCTTGTAGCTCGAAACAAATTCCGCCAGGTAGTCTTCCAGGATCCTTCAGCCGTAACATGACTGCGAAGAGCGGAAAGTGATTGAGACAGGCAAGACCCATCTCCAGCGCAGCCTTCAGCCCTATGACAGCAATGCGTGCGCTCGCAAACGTCAGGTAGAAGACGAATACAGTTGGCAGTAAGAAGAATTGCAGTGTGAAAAGAATCGTGCCGAGCAACAGCTGATCAAGGTCGTAGTCGCATGAGTCGATTCGGTTGCGAAGGATGTTGCGCTTTTTTCCACGGAAAAGATGGAAGAGGGATATAATGATGGTGAGCTGCCAATGGAAGATGCGAGCAGACGCGACATAGAATGAGTATATGTGCAGCGTCAGCAGTGAAACGAGGTCCGAGAAGATTGAGATGGGCATAGTGGCGCCAGCGAAAGCGGAAAAGCCAATGATCTGGATCAGCGCAGGTAGGTGTGGCCGCAGAAGTGATATGCATCCCGCCCAGTAATCAATGACCCAAAGAAAAAGGTCGCCCAGGAACGCAGCCAGTTCAGTGTTCAACTTCAAGCCTCCGGGCCATCCCATAAGCCATGATATCATGCGCCGCAGACCGTCGACCGACCAGGTACTGAATATGGTATCGACCTGAGCAGCCACGAACGAAGCGTTCTCGATGATGAACGTTCCGACAGCAATGCCCATTATGACATCGTTGGCAACCAGCCACAGACTATTGTAGAACCGGATATACTCCGGATGACTGTTAGTGATAGATTCCCAGTTGACTTTCCTCCTGCGTAAGGTGAGATACTGAATGGGCCAGTAACAGGACTGTTGTAATCGTATGTCAATCTGTTGCGCCGTCGCGGAGATGTCTTTCAGAGCTGGCGAGTCGGAAGAACCTGGTCGCCAATGGAGAAGCTGAAGAACGGCTTCTCCCATTATGCGATGGGTGATGAGCCCAAAAACAAAGAGTTGTGCGGCTACCGGCCATATCCAGACTCTGAACGCATAATGAAGGACAAGCCATATATAGTCCCAGAGATCGTTCGCAGACTCGACGACCCGCTCACTGACACTCAAGGCTCGCTTCATGCGCCTGCCTATCATGCCGATGTTCTTCTGCAATAGGGCGTTCAATTCGTGCGAACAGTTCACCTGCTCGATGAGCATCGGCAACGCCAGCTCTTTTTGAGTGCGCGGGTGTGCAATGACTGTGTGCAGTTTGAGCTTCTCAACGAGATGTGCCTTTCTTCTGCGCTCCTTCTCCTCTGCTTTCTCCAGCTCTTCGAAAGCTACATCCCATTCCGCGACCCTTCTTTTGTCTCCCAGTGCTAGCGTGATTGGTTTGAGCGAGAGGTATTGCATACGCGTTGGGTGCGGTCGGTCGTATACAATGACTTGCATTGCCGCGAGCGGTTCGTGAGGATGATGAAGGCGCGGAAAGCGGAACGAGGGGTCGGTATGGACTACGATGAGGTCGGTATTAGGCTGCTCAACTGGGCTCTTGGAGTTGACGTAGCCCAAGGCGCGCAGGGAAGAGTGTCCGCATCGTTGAAGTAGTTCCTGGACATCGTGTGGGCTGTGTCGCAGTAAGGTCCCAACAAGCAGCGCGTTCTCGACTTGACGCAACTCGACTTCTTGAAGCACAGCTACTACAAAGACATCTGACTCCGAGTTTCTGAACCCCACCAGAACACCCGGCACAGAATCCTTTGGAGCGTCTGACGGCCAGAATACGCGCATCAACCCATTGTGTGTGACCATGTCATCATCCTGCTACCCCGCTAGACTAGAAGGAACCGCGACGTTTGAGCTGCTCGCGCGCAGAGATGCCGGTGCCTGCGAGTCGAGGATGCTGTGTGATGCTGTTAGTAAGGACCTGGAAGTCCGAACAAGATCCATACTGACCAGGTCTGTCTCTTGTGTCGCGATGCGCACAACCGGTAGTATGAAGAGGAAGAACAGCAGGGACAGCAGGCAGAAACCCTTAGCAGTCCGTGTCACAACGCCGTGATCCCAGGCAAAGATGCCTAGTTCGTAGACGCGCGTCACAAGATCCCAACGGGCGGTCGAGTACCCTGCGACGAAGATTCCGATAGTAAGAATGGAGAAAGCGTGCATCTACGCCGTCATGCCAAGTTGTATTCGGAAAGGTCGAAGGGGGACTGCGCGAACACTAGACTAGCATTCAGGAAGGCGCAAGTGTCTGCGATGCGTCCTGACTTTCACTCTGTGGATTGACACTGGTATGAAGTAGTGCGCTTGGGAGTACATGGCGCTGGATGCATTAATGCGCGAGGCGTAGAAAGACGATGATCGCGTACGTGGAAGATCCGAATCATCGGAATGTGACGCTAAAGCTGAAATGGCCTAGCGTTCATCGCTCCGTCCTCGACAACATTGAACGGTGAACACCATTGCAGAGGCAAGCGTCAACACCCAGACGCACAAGGAGATTCACCCTTTTCGACAAGCAGCTATAACACACCAGCTGCCGTGCTACGGTAGGTGCTTAATTTCGTCTCGTCAACTCTTTCTACTCTACTTCGATACTGTCTACGTTGATTGCTTAGCGCGATTTGGCGACGAGCATTCCCAGTGCCACATGCATCGGTCGATATGGGCAGAGACGGGCAGAGGGCCGGGAACACCGAGATTGCGCTGCGATGGGCAGAGGTAACTACAAGTAATGGATTTCAACGGCGTTTTACTGCTGTGTGAACCGCAACAACCTGGGCAAAATTTGGCGCTTTCACCTTATACAAGAAAAAAACTGAACAGGTCTAGAGCCTACATCGACGCTAGGTCACCTATTTTGTAGGTTTTCACGTCGATGTAGGCTGCAGGCCTGTTCGGTCTTTTTCTTAGTTGACGTGCTTTGTTCGCGTTGATTACTAGCGCGTCGCGTCCGTCCGCCTGAACCTTGGAACCTTCGCAGTTTCCGTTCACTCCAGCCGCGACTGCCTCTTTCATTGACCTCCACAAGTTGACAACACAAGTAAAATCTCACCGTTGCTAATATTACCCAGTCAACTACGAAATCCAAACTTTGACCCTAGACAAGGAGACTATCACGACAAACAAGGCGACATGACTGTATGTGGCTTCTACCAGCGGAATGCATGTAAATTCGGTGGTAAGCTCATCCGCCATCCTTTACAGACAACTGTCTCACGCGAAGCAGATTCCTGCAAATTCGAGCACCCTGGAAGTTCGCGAGATGCAGCTCGAGGCGGAGGCGGAGGCGGAGGTGGAGGCGGCTTCGGCGGAAGCTCCAACCGCTTCGGTGCTTTCAACGGCGACCGCTATCGCCCAAGTGATAACAGCGGAACTAACTCA